TCCCTCCCTTCCTCCCTCCCTCCCTCCCTTCGCACCTGTCTCTTCTTATCGTCGCCCAGCACCTCGTAGGCCTCCGTGATCTCCATGAACTTCTTCGATGCCGTCGGATCGTCCTTGTTCGCATCCGTGGGGGAGGGGGAGGGTGGGAGGGAGAGAGGGAGGGAGGGTAAGGGAGGGAGGGAGGGAGAAAGTTAAAAATACTCGACTTTCAGGCTATTTCCACGGTCATCGCGGGTCCAATATGCACATATGGCTGTTGCACATATAAATTTAAACATGTATACACGAGTTTTCCCGTTTTTCGTACCTTCCTCGTCTCACGGCCTCACACCTCCTCCCCCCTCCTCCCTCCCTCCCTCCCTCCCTCCTTTTACCGGATGGTATTTCTTCGCAAGCTCGAAATACTTCTTCTTCACGTCCGCCTTGCTAGCGCCTCGCGGCACGCCCAGCACCTCATAAAAGTCCTTCTTGGCGGCGAGGGCACAGCGGGTGGACGAGTGGAAGGCCCTACAGTGCAAGGTCCTAGAGCAATGGACAAATAAATAAACCGGGAAGGGATCAGGGGCAGAGAATGAGGTGGCGGTCGAGCCGAATGCACGGTCGTCATGCTGCTCTCTAGAAAGAACGTAGAAAAACATGCATCGCCCGTTAAAAACACTTCTGCTGTTGAATGGCTGTATTAAACACTCACACCCGCGAATGCTGCTGTCCACACTGCACTCCCCAGAATCTTGTGACGCTACCATTCAAAACTATTTTCCCTTTCTTCACACTGGGACTGGGCGCACTCCCGCAAAGATGCCTCGTTGACTCCCACCGGGAACGCCTCACTCCTCCGTTTCCTCCGCTTCCCGATACGAGTGACCGACCAGCCACACCCTGGCTATTAGAGCACAGAGCTCTGCTACCACTACATTCAATTCCTCTTGCCACTGCCTTTGTGGCAACTAAGGCGGCCCGCATTCGGTCCTGTGATTGTGGAGGCAGGAGGTACGTGGCGTAACCAACTAGGTTTGGTGATTTAAGTTCGTGGAACGGATATGGAAGCCATCGCAGTATTAAGTCTAATACACCGCGTGTGGAATCAGGGCAAAAAGCAACCTTTCACCGTGACTTCTTCACCACGGGCCTACCCTCTCCTTCCAAGGAACAAGTTCTCGTATCCCCCAGCCCGCCTGCCCTCCCTCCCTCCCTCCTTCCCTCCCTCCCTCCCTCCCTCCCTCCACACACTGTCGCAGCGCCACCTCCCGATGCATGGCTCTCGTTCTCCCTGCCGCACAATTTCTTTTAGCCTCTCTCTTTTACGTGAGGCATTTTTCACACGACAATATGTATCGATAGTTTGCAGCACAGTGACCGTGATGCATTCTGTTCCGGTGTGGCTTGTTGGCTATGAATGGCAGATAACGCGCGAGGCTGCCACTGTGGGATTCCGTCGCCCTACATTCCTTCTCGTTACCGCTTACGAGCACATGCTCAGCCAAATGCACATTGTATCTGACCCGTCAGCGGCAACTTTCTCTGCTTACGTCTCTTATATCATTTGCGATACATACAGGCGTAAATCTATAGTCTGTGAACTTCGCAACAATGGTAAGTCCAACTGCTCTCTCGAGCACCTAGTTTTCCACCGCTTCATCATAGCCACACTCATCGATCTGATGCCTGTGTTTTATTTCTTTCTTGTCCTTTAAAAAATACAGCCTTTCGTCAAGGTTCTTAAGAATAAGCAATATTTTAAGCGGTACCAGACCAAGTTCCGTCGTCGTCGTGGTGAGTGGAGGAGAGGCAGTGAGGAGCGTACGGAAGCGAGTGCGGGCAAAAGGAATGGAGGTAGAAGGTCCAGTCTGAAGAAGATTTCTGAAAAGAGCCAATGGGATCTATGCTTGAAATAGAATCACTCCCTTACTAATGATGGTGCTTTTGAACGCGCGCATTTTTTGTGTCTTGCAGAGGGCAAGACGGACTACCGGGCCCGCAAGCGCATGGTGGCGCAGGACAAGAATAAGTACAACACGCCCAAATACCGCCTGGTGGTACGTGAAGAGGGTGGAAGGGAATGGAGGGGGAAAGGGCGACTGTTTGACGCGGCAGGGTTGGTGCTTGTGAACGAGCTGTGTAGGGGGCAACGACGGGGCCTTACTGTACTTCTTTCGCTTTGATATCATGTTCCTCATCTCGTCCACGCCTCGTTCCTCTCCCGCATGCACATACGCTTGCTCGCGATTGACAGGTGCGTTTCACGAACCGCTACTGCATCGCACAAATTGTCTACGCCACGATTGACGGGGACAAGGTCCTGGCCGCCGCCAACTCGAAGGAGCTCGCTCGCTATGGACTTAAGGTATGTGCAAGATCCTGCCCCCGGGCTATTCTCCCATACCTATGGATGCGAGGATGTTTGTGTATTCTTCCCAAGTACGCTTTTCCTGTCGCGATTCGTTTCCCGCTGCGTCCTCCTCCCGCTCACGTTTTCTCCCTTCCACTGTGCCCATGTGGCTCACCCCCCCAGGTCGGTCTGAAGAACTACGCCGCCGCCTACTGCACAGGTCTCCTCATCGCACGCAGGCTCCTCAACAAGCTGGGCTTGGATGAGGCCTACGAGGGGGTGGACGAGGTAGGGAAGGAAGGAGCGAGGGCGAAGGGGATGGGGACTCGGGGATGCTCAGGTCGAGGGGATTTTAAAGTTGAACTTGAGAATTATGACCTAGCAAGGACTGTTGCATTTACGCCTCGGTGAGTGTATGGCGCGTCTGACCGCTTCTTTCGCCGCTCCTTCCTCCTCCCCCGCCAGCCTGACGGCGAGATAGCGACCACCAAGGACGAGACCAACGGGCGCACCTACTACGTCCCCGAGCTCAACGATGTGCGTCTAGGCTCTTTTTTCTTTCCTTTGTCTCTCTTTTTGGTTTCCCTGTCTAGACTATTTGTTCCATTCTGTCTCCTCGCTTGTTGCCTGTGTTGCCCCGCTCCTTTTGCAGGAGCCCGTCCCCCCCTTGAATATCTCGAATTTATTTCGGAATTATCTTGGAATTATTGGGTGAGGAGGAGGCGACGCGGATGATCTTCTGTGAGCCTTCGAATCTCGCTGTTCCCCGTTTTGTTTTTTCCGAATCTCCCTCTTTTCTGTCCTGTTTTTTTTCGAATCTCGCTTCCCTCTGTCCAGAGAGTCCGTGGTCGTTTGGCTCACTGCCTACCGTCTTCCCCTCCCTCCTGTTCTCATCCCGGGTTTTTCTGTGTTAATTTTTAGGAGAAGAAACCTTTTCGCGCCATTTTGGATGTAGGCATCCAGACTACTACGACCGGCAACCGCATCTTCGGCGTCCTCAAGGTATTGTCCATCCTTCCCTTCCTCCCTCCTTCCCTCCCTCCTCCCCCCCCCCCTTGTCTTTCCCGCGACGTGCCATCTCCCACGTATCCCTTCATCGCCACGTCCAGTGCATGCACTCAGCGCCTCATTCCCCTCTCCCTCCCTCCTTCCCTCCCTCCCTCCTTCCACAGGGCGCCTCGGACGGCGGCCTGGACATTCCTCAGTCGGAGAAGCGCTTCCCGGGGTACGACCGTGACGGCAAGCGGTACGATGCGGACAGCCACAAGGAGCGCATTATGGGCGAGCATGTGGCTGACTATATCAACTACCTGGTGGAGGAGGACCACGAGGCGTACGAACGGCAGTTTGCCAACTATATCAAGGTTGGATATGTCCCCTCCTTTCCCCCCTTTTCTGGCTCCTCGTGTCTTTGATTCGATGGTCACGTGGATCTTTCCGTGAAAGTTGCCTACTCACGCGCGACCCGATGTGTCCTGTCTTTCCTATCGTCTCCCTTCCCATCTCTCCAAAACCCTTTCAGCACGGTGTCTCCGGAGATGATTATCAGGACTTGCTCGAGGAGGTGCATACTGCTATCCGCGAAGACCCGACCGCCGCGCCCAAGACGGAATGGGAAGGAGATCGCACGAAGTACAAGCGTCAGGGGAAGGTGAGGAGAAGGGAGAGTTTGGGAAGGAAGAAGCCGATCGAAGTGTGTGGAGTGAAAAGCAGTTGAAGGCATGCGCTTCTGCCTATACCAGGCACTCACGTCATTTATTTCTTTGACGTTATTTTCACAGCTTTCTTACGAAGAGCGCAAGTCTCGCGTGGCTGAGAAGAAATTGGCCATGGCGGCAGCTGCTGGTGATGCCGATGAAATGGAGGAGGAAGAGGAGGAAGAGTAACCATGGCATTGAATTGGGAGGGGTTGAAATTTGCACGGGCGACAACTCTTGGTTCCGCTTTTCAAGAGAAAAAAGTTGAATCAGCGTATGCTGTCCGGAAAGATCGTTGTCATGTTTATTATGTCATTCATTTTGCTTTCGTTCTTCCATTTTTAGTGTGCATGTATTGAGGTCGAAATTTCTTACGTACGTCTGCGGAGGCGCTTTTCTCCGGAGACGACAAACACCTTTTGAACGACGCAAGTCCTCAAACGCCCTCATCGAATGGATCTGACCTGTTGGTTGTATCCCTTTGAGGTCGAGGCCTGTCAATCCTGCGGATATAGTACTGCTTCTCGTTCGCGTGTGGCCGAGGTTTGTGTAATAACCTTTCTCCGGCGACGATTCCGACGACGGAGAGCCAGAAATGCTTCTAGCAACCGATTTGGCCGCATGGGCCTTAAATGCGGGTAGTCTTGCTTCCAAGACATGCCAGAGACTGCGGTTATTGCCTCCGCAATATTCATGGCAAATAACTGTGGAAAAATCTCTGACTTGTTTTGAATCGTGATTGATTGTCTGATGGGTACGCCCAATGAGGGGCGTCGGAGCAAGTCATTCGTCGGAGTGTGGTTCCGTGAAGCGAGACTACAGAGAAGGCAACCCAAAAATCACCCTATTTGAGATAATTTCTTGTTGTTCATGACTTAAATGTCTTCAGATGCTCAACCAACCCGCCCTTCCTGGACAACACAGGTGTGCCCATTCTATCGCTTGTCGCGTGTGCTCAGAGGTGGTGTTTCCCACTCTGATAAACAAAAATGGTAATGCCATCGATAGTCATGAAATATTTCACGCTCTTCATTGTATTTGCCGCATCGGTACGTGTTTCACTTTCTTTTCTTCCGTATCTCAAGTAATCCTTCAGCTGCTGGGTGGGCTCCCTTTCGATTAGGTCTTGTTCCTCCTCGTTAGATCAGTAGTTTCGCGTTTGCGAGCGTGGGTCATTTACCTGTCAGGAAATGATACCTTGCGACAAATACGGGCATGATACCTTACGGCTTTGTCTTTTTTCCGTCCCAGGCACGTGCCGATTGCCCTCCTGATGGCGCTCTTCAAGTCGCTGTGTCCACAAGCAAAACGCGGGTCAGGAGGGGAGGAGTCACGATGTTCACTCTGACGTTACAGCAAGTCACGGATTGGGGGAATGCCACTGCCATTTACCCTGCGGTAGGTTCAAGGACGAGAAGAAACCTAACGTAGACTGCTCATTTGCCTGTGATTTGCTTACCTTCGCTCTTTTTCCGCATGACACACTTCTCTTCTAACAGCTCATCCTTCCTGTCGATAATCATACCGACCACGACCATGATACCCATCACGATCATGATACCGACCACGATACCGATCATGATCACGATCACGTTGAGTCGGCTCGAAATCTCGCAGGGGGAGGGGGAGGGCATGAGCACGAACATGCGCCTGCCTACTTCCGAAGCGGCCGAATCAAGCCACGCATCTGGAAAAGGTCGCGTTCGAACAGGCCGATCTTTGAAGCACACGATAGCCTGGTTTACTTCATGCTCCCCTCTGACTATGCCACCAGCGTGCCCAACCCCAGGTAACTCCCACAACCTTCAATATTGAGAATTAAATGCTTCATAGCTGGTTATTAGCAGGACGTGTATCAGGCAGTTATTAGCAGAACGTGTATCAGGCAGTGTTGAGTGTGAGCGTGGGTCCGGTTTGTATATTTGTTTGCTTTCTTCAAGAAGGCTTTTGGTTTTCGTGGACGATCCGTGGTCCGTCCACTTGCTTTCTCAGCACGTGCACAGATTCGGAGGGCCATTTTAAGGCCCGCTGCATTACTATCTTTCCTTGTCCAGCCCTCTCATCCGCATCTCCTCATCCCGCCATCCCCACTGTTGCTTTCCTTAAGGAGCATGGGTAAAAAAAGGCCATCGGCTTCAGCGCCCGAGCACGCGTTCAGGTTTGACGTGGTGGTAGGCAAGACGCTGGAAGAGGATCATCTCGAATTTGATCTGGTTATTCTCGACGGCTTGGACGGCAACATCTGCTTTGGTCCGGAACATGTAGAGGTAAGAGGGGAAAGAGAAGGAAACGAGAAGGGAGGCTGATTAGATCCCTATTTTGAACGACAGAGAGTCGGCCTGCTAGAGTATTTAAGGTACATGTCGTCATTAAAAGCTGAAGGAAAGGGAGCACCGCATAGTCTATGATCAATGCAAACATAACCCCGTCAAATACTCAAACTCAATTTCGCTTTGTGTATATAATCTTCACTGAAGAAACTTATGACACTTTCCGCTGCTTTTACGAACAGATTGACGTCTATGGACGCATTCGACCTGAAAGGGATCATTAGTTCTAGTCGGTCGACTTGCATGGGACGCAACTTTGTTCAACACTGAGTCTTCGGGAGGGAAATAAGAATGTGAAAAGCCTTAAAGAAATGAGTTAATGGGGCAAGAAGATAGGTGGAGGGCCACCCAAGCGATATTTTTTGATCGGTGTGTAAGGACTTGCCCATGTGTTGACCGAGTCGCGAAGAATTTAACAAATTATTCCTTATACGAATCCCAACTTGGGTTGTTTAAATCTGAATTTGTTTCTACCTGCAATTCTATGCCCTCTTTTCTTTTGGGTTTTCCTCTATTTTACTCTTTGCTCGCCATTCCATTAGGTCATCTTTTAGAAAAGGGAATCGTGGGGGAGATGAATCTCCTTGCTTGACTTCTCCAAGTAACCAACAGCTCAACTTAGGCCGACACATATTTCGCGCACTTTGCGTAGAAACATGGTGGCAGACCCTGGCATCATACGTACAGAGAATACAGCGAGAGATACGTAGTGTCCTATGCTTGCAAGCTGTAAGCGATGCAAAAGAGAAGGTCCAAAAATTGTCAATCAAAAAGCTGAGAATGGTGATAAAATTGTTATCTTGTAAGAATGTGGAAGCATCCGTCTTTTCTCCCTTGTTCGGTGTCAGGATTAAGATGGGACGACTCTCCCTCCCTTTCACTGCGGATTGTAATTTCTCGGCAAAATGTGGTCATAGGAATATATCTGTCTCAAAAAATAGTGCTGGTATATTTTAAGAGCCTGTTACAGCGAACTGCTTGGGTGGGGAGCAATGGTCAAAGACACTGAGACGTTGTAAAATATTGGCTTCAAAGGTCTGTCTGTGATTGGCTGAAGAGCCTCGTCTTTTGTCTTCTGAAGATACTTGTTCTATCTCCTTCTCTCGCCACAACAATGAAAAGCCTACTATTCGTACACGTCATAGAGTATAAGAGAACAGCTCAATCATTCTTGCCGTTCAGTGATGCCGGTCTGTAGGCTGTCAAATGAGCATTCATTCAGATTGTCAAGGAGATGGAAGGTCCCCTGTTGCATGGCCACTTATACACCGCTTTAAACCTTTAATAGACTCACGACTTTTGTGTTTTTCCAACATTTTTATTTCGAAGAAAAAGCTGACTTTTGTTGGAAATTCTAAATCGCATGTTTTTAGGGATACTCTACGATCGTGAAGCGTCGCTCACACTACGTAGCCTTTTACACAATTTCCGCTGAATTCATGAAATAAATCTACCCGTCTATCATCATGCGTGTGTATTTTGTATAGCAAGGAAATGCCTCTCTGTATGGGATGATGCGTGTTGACTATCAAAAACACCTCTGTCGACCGGCAAATCAGTCAAATACCGCAGACCGAGAGCTCTTAGAGCCTCGAACAATAATCCAACCATAATAGCTCCTAAAGCTTAAATAAGAAGAAGGCTCGGCCACCCACTCAGTTTCCCGTGCACGGCGTCGAAGAAAAAATCGCCGTCCTCAACAGGGCTGGACCGGTAGTGCTGGGAATTCCTGGTAGGCTCCTGGTCTCTAGACTGGACACATGTATGGGGCCCGGCGATATCGGAGGCGGGTCTTCTTAAGGCTTACCGGCAGGCACCCTGCGGGTGGCCACGGGCGCAATTGCACTGCGGTCGTTTGGGCCGCTGCTGGACAAAATCTTGCGGACAGTTCGCATTTTGGTAGGTGTGCGTCTTCGACAAGCTGAAATGGACGGCAATTGTGAGAATTTCTTGGTCTGGGTGGCGCCTCCAAAGTGAGGGTCTATGACGCCATATCAGTCATCAGATCCGGACTCGCCGCCCTAGGAAAGAATAACAGATGTGCCGAGCAAGAAAGCCAAGTGTGTGCAGTGACTGTGTTCAAGCGAAGTCGTTTTGAGCGTGTTTTGCCGATGTCCAGTTGTGGATCGAGCCTACGCTTCGATGCAGACGACCTAGTGTGACAGAAAAGAGTGAAGGTTTGGATTGAAAATTGCCACATGAACAAGCCGTCGTGGAAAGCACTGTGCACGCTGGCCAATCAGCTCGTTCACCGGTCAAACAGCGTGCTACAATGCCAATTTTTTCTCAATCCCACATGCACACTTTCCATTGTCTTTATGAATACTGCTTTTTTTCAGGAATTGGTGCACTTAGGCTCAATTCAAGAATTGACATCAAGTATGAATCTGGAGGAGGAATTCTGAGGCGGCGACTTCCCTGAAGTTTAGCCTGGTGGCAACGCGGGCCGAAGTTGGGATGGATAGACCCACACCCCCTTATGGCAGCCGTGAAATTAGCGGAACAGGACATGCTGAAGTTAAAGTGCGCCGTGACAAGCGGGAAGACGGAGTCCGAGGCGCCCTTGAAACGGGGGCCTCCGCTATGGAGAAACGTCCGCAACAAGACAGAATGCCAATAGATCCTGCAACGAAGCGTAAAATATGTGTTGACCACGTGTATGCCGAAGAAGGGTGTATGCGTTGGGGTTGTCCTTTTGCGCACGTTGAAAACACGTGTGGGAGGGGGAAAGCGGGTGGTAGGAAAAGTGGTGGGAACGAAGGCGAAGAATTCGACGCGACGCGAAGTGCAAGACAGGACATCAACAATGACGATCCTGGGCAACAAACAAGGTACGTGGGGCCTCGGTGCCTCCCGGGATTTTTATTTCTCTCTCCGGACATATCAACCCCACGAGCCAGAATATCTCAAACCCATACCTAGAGCGCGGGCCTTACACCTGAACCCCGCCCCATCACTTTCACGCATGCTCACCACCTGCACACCACCGCAGTATATCCACGCACCAGGGAATGGACACGCACAAGGAGCCTGTTTCCTCTTCCTCCCTCGTAGCTCCCAGAGAACCCACCTCCTCCAAGCCCTCTACCCTCCCCAGAGGCGCAGATAAACCACGCACGGGCCTGCGGAGTGGTGGTCAGAAGTCACAAACCGGCGAGCATACGGATAGAGGAGATTTGAGCACAGGCATAGAGGAGCAAGCGGAGCCAAGGACGGGCGTGGCGGATGAGGGGGGTGGCGAGGAAGCGTCCGGGGGAGTGGGGGAGGAAGAAGGAGCGTTGGTCGACAAAATTGGGGACTTGCACCTGAAAAAGGCGGTCGCCACGGAGAAGGAGGGAAGCGGAGATGGAGGGGGTGGGCTGGGACCGGCAGGAGGGAGCGAGGGTGGCATATTCACAATGGAAGCGGCCCATCCGCCCTCCTCCACGGTGACCCTGCCGCCGCCGTTCCGTCTCGGTCCTGCCTCCCTCTCCGCTCCCCAACTTTGCCCGGGGTCCTCCTCTCGTGCCCTCGTAAAGCAGTCGTCGGACCCAGGCGCGGTCCCGGCCTCCCTCCCTGTGCTGGTATGGTAACGGTGGACTCTCCCCTGTCGGCGGGAACGTACCTTCAGCCTCCTCGCCTTTTTTTAANATATATATATATATATACGTGGCACACGCGCGTGTTTTCTTTCCTTTCTGTCCTCCTTTCCGACGAGTTCTGCTTGGCATAGAAATGGGTATCAGCTTAGCTGGCGTCCACGTCACGTCAGACCCTCATTGCCCTCTCCTTGACCTTCCCCCTCCCCCCTCCCTCCCTTCCTGCCTTGTCAGGGCTCCGGTTTTCAACGCATGCCTCGAGATATCGAAACTGGCAGGCGGATCTGCTTTTATTTCAACAATAAGGGTTGTTCCATGGGAGAGAAGTGCGCCTTCGTACATGTCAAGGTGGGTGACAAGGAGGGCGGGAGGGAGCCGGTGAAGTGAGGAGGGGGGGGTTGAACGAAATGAGAAAGAAAGACTAGGAGAAGTGCTCGCGGTCTGCGTGTGATATGGAAGAAACTGAGAGAAGGACAACTCGAGTTTAAAAGGGGTGAAGAGGAGCGGGCAAATACGGTGAAGATGGGTACGCCAAGCGCCCACGGCCGCAGTCAGGGGGAGAAAACGCCGGGTTTAGTCTCAGTCCTCCGCCCGATGTATCCAGTGACTTGACATCCCTCTCCTTCTCCCTCCTTTTCTCTTCCCCCCCTTGCTCTTCAGGCTGACTCCTCCCTCATCACCCCGGGAACAGCCCAGAAGCCCCCTCCTGGCTCGGACAAGCTCTCCACTGGCCTCTCTTTCCTCCCTCCCTCCTTCCCTCCCTCCTTCCACGCCTTCCTCCCTCCTCCCCTCCCTCCCCACGAGGCTCGAGAAAGGAACTGTCCCCGGGGCGCACGCCGGCTTTCACCCCCTCTCCCCGCTGGTCTCATCGCGCGGTCGCCTTCTCTGGAAGACGGAATGTCCTGGGTACCTCATCCATCATACTTCCCTGTCCCTCAGGAGGAAGGGAGGGGTCGGCGGGTGGCGCGAAGGAAGGAGCGGGGACCTCCTCTAAGGAAGGGGAAGCAGCTCTCGGAGTCAGAAATTGGAGACGGACCGGAGGAAGATCCGCCTGAGGACGGGAAGGCGGAAGGCGGGGAGAAGGGAGAGGGCAAGGGAGGGGACAGGGGGGATGTCTTCGTGCCCAGCCGGTCGCAGGAGTCGACGGAAGCCTCTCCCCTGCTTCGACAAAGTAGAGGGGTTGGTGGGGATGGGAGGGAGAGGGGGCGGCGGGCGGCAGGAAGGCCGCAGGAGGGAGGAGGGGCGGTGGAGGCTCGAGAGGAGAGGATTGCTTCTTCTTACCCTCGGAGTGCGGCGGCCCCCCTCCCTTCGCACGTACCACCTCACATGGTCCCAACCATCCCCACGCCTTACTTCCCTCCAGTGACCGAGGGCGCTTTTCCCCCTTCTCCGCCCGTTCCACCGGGAGCGTATCCGTATGCATATGGAGCGGCGTATCAGCATCCCTTCCTCCCCCCCTCCCTTCCTTCCCTTCCTCATGCCTCTCCGTCCGGCGTCCCTTACCCCGCTGCGCCACCCTACGTCATGTGGTACCCCTACGTCGCTCCCTCCTACGATTCACACCTGTCCTATCCCACAGCACACCTACCGCCCTACCCTGAGAACCCCTCTCGGCCCGGGCAGGGGCCGTGGGAGGGGGGGGAGACGGAGGGGGGGGGAGACGGACATTATTGAAGAGACAGGGGAGAATAACGGAGCTGAAGCTGCGGGGGAAACAGATGAAAAAGGAGTGTCTCGGTCTTTATGACGCACATGGCCTGTACCGGCGAGGCCTGATCTCCTACACCTACGCCCAGTCCCGCCCGTTACGCCGTTTCCGCTTTCTGCCCCCTTTTATTGCGTCCCGACAGCTTTCCTTTTGGTTCACATTTTATTTTTATTTCCCTTGTTCCACGTTTTGGCGGTGGAAACTGATAGATGCGGCGAACGAAAAGCAATAACTACCGGCTGAAGCACGATAGAAACAAAGACCGACACCTGGGGGACTCGTGTGAAGTAGGGCTACACCACTCCAATACCAAAAGAGGAAAAGACTGCATTCCACACTCAGAGAGGAAGGAGTGTGATGCGTGGAATTCACACGTGTGGGTGCAGATTCTCTCTCTTTTCTTACAGTACATCCCTAGCACGCGGGCGGTTTCCCTCTAGTAGTTGGGGGAAAAGGCATGAAAGGGTGTCAGCATGAAGACTTAAACAGTCATTCGATGAGCTTGGTGTGTCGTACCCTTGCACATATGTCCTGGTTGGTCGAGGGAGAAAGCAAGGACCTCTACAGCATTACGGCGATGAGTGCGAACGAGCATACTCGTGTCTTCATTTCAAACTTTGACAACAGAGAAATCGATCAAATGGCTTTTGGAAGAAAATGAATGGAATGTAAAGCTCGGCGCGACAGGGCAGCATTGTGTACCTGTGGTTGTTTTGTAGTCAAGTAACTGATAGTGCATTTAAACAATAATGTACCTTCAAGTAAAAGCGTCCATCGAGACTTCAAAAAAGGTCACGCGGCTGCCTGTGGATCATTATTTTCTTTGTTGTCTCACATTTGAATGGCGTCACAACGTTGGCTGCGCGTATGCATGGCCAGTAGAAACTGGGACGCATCCCGGCGAGGAAATCGTTGATGCTGATCCTCGAACTTTCCTTAGACGATCGAAGTCAGATTTCACTCCGGGGGCGGAGTGGTTGTTCGGATATTTTTACTCTCCTACTATCCAGACGAGAGACTGATGACTACCTGTGTATGCCACGCGATTTTTCAACCGTTGCACCTTTCTGTCGATCCTTTCCCTCCTTGTGTACTATTTTCTCAGATTCATCGACGAGCATCAGGGTAGGTCTCTACCAAACAACTTCTTTAAAAGCGCTGCGTCATGTCAAAGCTGTACTGTACACTGAAATCACCTTTTCCTGTTTGACTGATGCGTCCCAGCGACAATATGAAAAAGTGGCTAGAAGTTATTTGAAACCTTGGTAGGCAGGTCCACTTAGACGTCTTGTGCTACCACCTGCCTCCATGCAAAAGCACCTAGGAATCTACAAACACCTACATACCCGGATTCTGCCTCGTACATACAATTCTACACAGGGATTGCTCCCCAAATATAATTATCAGATTGTATAATACAGGAAGCAGATGGGTGGAATTTCCCAAGGCTGCTCTAGATATATAGTTCACTGATTTTTGACACGCTTCGATCAATCAATATCTGCCGCCTCGACCGTGGGCGTCTTGGGACCAGAAGATGGAATGTGGAGCGCAGCGCTGTAAAGTGTGACAAAAACGCGGCAGTCAATCTCTTGCTATCATGGTTCCAAAAAAGATATATCAGCGCTCAGATGGCGATCAAACAACCACCTTTCCAGCCCGGCATGCTGCTGGCTGTCTATTCCTACCCCAGTAACAGTTCAGCTTGCTTACCGATTTATTATCCCATCCTTGTTCCGGAAGGCTTGCCAGAAGGTGTGTAACCATGAGTTCAGAGGCCACTGAGCACGGCCCCTCGAACCGTCATTGGAAGCCGCAGAAAGAGGACATCTTGGTTACAATAGATAGAAAATTGTATAATTTAGCGCGAAAATTGCCATACATGAGCACGTCAAGTGCTAAGACCCTTTCCCTCATTCTCTTCCCCTCGCTTTTTTAGCCCCGTCAAAGCCACCCCTTACGTGGCGTCGATCCAAAAGCGGTAGGCAAACCCCAATGCCCGCAGGGACTGGAACACGAGCAAGGTCATCCACACGCTAAATAGCTGCCCTGCGCCGCTCCCTACGAATGCAGTCGCATCCCGTCCGCGCGTGGTCAAATGGAGGAGGCTTCCCGAGAGGAGAACGCATAGACCCATCAGACGGGCCTACATTGTGAGTAGATGTTTGTTTGAACGGAAAAAGGATCTGTTGAATTTGAAGGCAGGCGGGCGGCGTGGAAAACCATTCCCCGGTCACTCAAAGTCCGCACATCTGCCTGGTTGCATTCTTCCGCGCGAATGAATGTGAGCACAATCAGGCATTTGTCACAATGGAGAATCGCGACGTTCATTGCATCCCTCTAAAAGTTCCAAATTTCCTTTCTTTAACCCATATTCCGGACCTGTGTACCTGATAATCGAAGTCTTGGGCTCCTTGCAAAATGCCTCCTCCGACCTGTGGAGGTTGGGCCCGGACGTGAGGAATGGTTTCTGACCGGCCTCGATGGGGCATGAATCCACCGCGACAAATTACAAAGCATCCTCGATGGGGCATGAATCCACCGCGACAAATTACAAAGCATCCTGGTCGTCACGTTGCTTAGCAGAGGCAGGATAGAATAAATAATATAAATTGTCACAACGCACCTACCTGCACGATGGCGGTGACGGGGACGAGGAGGGATACGATCCAAAGGATGGGTCGTAGCTGGGAGAGGAAGGGAGAAAGGGGGGGGGAAGGAAAGAAAGAGCAGGGGGGAAAATTACGGCTTGTGAGCTCCTTCATGAAGGCCTAGGAAAGCAAGAGGATGTAAAATTGTGGAAAGCCCGTCCTCCTCTGGTATCAAGTTGAAATAAGCGAGCTTAACGCCAGCTCACGTCTTTCCAATCACTGACTGGCAGCATGGCTTATGGCTCCTCTTCCTTCTTTCCTTCCTCCTTCCTTCCCTTTCCCCTACTCTCTCGCCTGCTCTGACCCCACCTTCAGGGCTGCTGCGGTGTCCAGTTTGAAAACAGACCAGCTGTGCACCGAAGCACCCCCTAGCAGGTAAATAATGCCAAAAAAGGATCCACCCGCACTCCCATATTGCAAGAGCCGCCTTCCCACCTGAGCAGAGGGCAGCAGGGAGGGACCCTGAGAGGACATGAGGGGAGAAGGAAGGGAGGGGGAAAGGCCTTACCTTTCTCGCACGCATGACTCGTCCCCGTCCCAGACAGTCAGCCACAAGACCCTGCCCCACGATGCCTGTTTCGGGAATATCGACTTCCGTTAATCAAGCCGATTTCAACCCCTACCCCTCCCTACCCTGCACAGTATCATCCACTTTTGTATCCCTCCCTCCCTCCCTTCCTTTCTTCCCTCTCATCCTTCCTCCCTCACCAAGCGAGTCGAGAAGGATGGAAGGGAGGAGCCAGAGCGCCATAGCGAGCTGATGGGCAGCCAGAGAGGAGGCGCTTCCCGACTTGGCGATGACGAGGGAAGACGCCGACAGAAGGAGGATCTGGTAGAGAACAGAGCGAGTCAATACGCTCCAGCCCTGGGGGAAAGAAGGGAGGGATGAGGGGAGGCAACTCGAGTGCATGGCTGGAATCAGCACGAAACGTCCCTCCACAAGGCGCGTGAGCAAGTGTCAAATATGCGCCCACCTGCGAAACAATTTTCCAGAGCGTGGGCGGGAGAGACTGAGGAGGGGGGAAGTCTTTGGAGAAAGGCCACGCTGGAGGATGGACGAGGGAAGCACCGTTGTCGTCCTCTGCCAATTCGATGACCCGCCTGGAGGGGTCGTGGAGGAAATGCCGATTGAGGGACAGGGACACGGAGGTTCCCTCCTCGTCGTCGCCTCCTTCTCGCTCCACCCACTCCTCCAAGGCCCCACTACTTCACTCCGCAAAAACAAGGAGGTGGCTCAGATCCACCTTCCCCCTTTCCCCTCGCCCTCCTACCTTTGCTTCTTCTGCCTGGCGCGCATTTTGCGCTCCTGCCGCCACGCTCTCTGCCACCAGACGAGAAATTCGGACAGGTTAGTCGCCCGTCGGCGGGCCGGGTACAGGGTGAAGAACTTCCAGGCATACATGAGGGTTGCCGCGTAGTCCGCCAGTACAGTGGTCACGCCAAAGTTCAAGAGGGCGGAGGTCGTGCGTGCTGGTAGGAGGGAGGGAGGGAGGGAGGAAGGGAGGGACGGTGAATTACTGACGGAAAAAATGAGCCGATGAACGGAGGAAGAGGAGGAGAAGAGGGCGGGGTTAGGGAGGGAAGGAGGAATACGGAAGGGAGGAGGATATAAAGGAGGGAGGGAGGGAGGGGCAGGGGGATCACCTGTGGAGGGAAGGAGCCAGCTTAGCCATTCAGCCGGACACGCGTAGTCCTGCGCAGGTGTTGAGGCAAAAAGAGGACAACATGGGTACGGCTGAGGCTTCTTCAGTGGAAAGGCTTCTTTTAGCACACCAGGGCCCATATTTTCCCCTGCAGGCCCTTGCACTCTCCTGCTCTCCCTCCCTCCCGGACCGCACCAGGATGAAAGCCGCAGTGATGACTAGGAGGGGGGTGGTTGTGTCCAAGAATCCACGCAGGGCGCCCATGGCCAACGCGTTGAAGAGGACTGCGGGCATGCTAAGGGCCTAGGAAAAGCGTGGGAACGAGGGGAGGATGGTGAAAAGGGAGGGAGAAAAAGACTTTTGGCTGCAGACGTGTGCGACAGAGAGGGGTCTTGACCAAAATGTGACAAAACCTACCCGGATTTGGAAGTATTCGACAGCGGAAAGAAAGACCTGGAAGGGAGGAAGGGGGGTCATGGGGACGTGTAAGAGGAAGGAAGGGACAGCGGGAAGGAGGGAGGGAGGGGAGGAGTGAGGGAGGGGATGACGGCACCTTCTTTTCCACCTGCCCCGCGCCCGCTAGCATGGAGAGGAGGTGAGGGGCCGCGCGCTGGAGAAGCGGGATGAAGACGACACCTGAATGGAGGAGAGACAAGTCATCTATTGAGTTCTTCGTATATGCTCTCCCAGAAACAAAGACCGACACCTGGGGGACTCGTGTGAAGTAGGGCTACACCACTCCAATACCAAAAGAGGAAAAGACTGCATTCCACACTCAGAGAGGAAGGAGTGTGATGCGTGGAATTCACACGTGTGGGTGCAGATTCTCTCTCTTTTCTTACAGTACATCCCTAGCACGCGGGCGGTTTCCCTCTAGTAGTTGGGGGAAAAGGCATGAAAGGGTGTCAGCATGAAGACTTAAACAGTCATTCGATGAGCTTGGTGTGTCGTACCCTTGCACATATGTCCTGGTTGGTCGAGGGAGAAAGCAAGGACCTCTACAGCATTACGGCGATGAGTGCGAACGAGCATACTCGTGTCTTCATTTCAAACTTTGACAACAGAGAAATCGATCAAATGGCTTTTGGAAGAAAATGAATGGAATGTAAAGCTCGGCGCGACAGGGCAGCATTGTGTACCTGTGGTTGTTTTGTAGTCAAGTAACTGATAGTGCATTTAAACAATAATGTACCTTCAAGTAAAAGCGTCCATCGAGACTTCAAAAAAGGTCACGCGGCTGCCTGTGGATCATTATTTTCTTTGTTGTCTCACATTTGAATGGCGTCACAACGTTGGCTGCGCGTATGCATGGCCAGTAGAAACTGGGACGCATCCCGGCGAGGAAATCGTTGATGCTGATCCTCGAACTTTCCTTAGACGATCGAAGTCAGATTTCACTCCGGGGGCGGAGTGGTTGTTCGGATATTTTTACTCTCCTACTATCCAGACGAGAGACTGATGACTACCTGTGTATGCCACGCGATTTTTCAACCGTTGCACCTTTCTGTCGATCCTTTCCCTCCTTGTGTACTATTTTCTCAGATTCATCGACGAGCATCAGGGTAGGTCTCTACCAAACAACTTCTTTAAAAGCGCTGCGTCATGTCAAAGCTGTACTGTACACTGAAATCACCTTTTCCTGTTTGACTGATGCGTCCCAGCGACAATATGAAAAAGTGGCTAGAAGTTATTTGAAACCTTGGTAGGCAGGTCCACTTAGACGTCTTGTGCTACCACCTGCCTCCATGCAAAAGCACCTAGGAATCTACAAACACCTACATACCCGGATTCTGCCTCGTACATACAATTCTACACAGGGATTGCTCCCCAAATATAATTATCAGATTGTATAATACAGGAAGCAGATGGGTGGAATTTCCCAAGGCTGCTCTAGATATATAGTTCACTGATTTTTGACACGCTTCGATCAATCAATATCTGCCGCCTCGACCGTGGGCGTCTTGGGACCAGAAGATGGAATGTGGAGCGCAGCGCTGTAAAGTGTGACAAAAACGCGGCAGTCAATCTCTTGCTATCATGGTTCCAAAAAAGATATATCAGCGCTCAGATGGCGATCAAACAACCACCTTTCCAGCCCGGCATGCTGCTGGCTGTCTATTCCTACCCCAGTAACAGTTCAGCTTGCTTACCGATTTATTATCCCATCCTTGTTCCGGAAGGCTTGCCAGAAGGTGTGTAACCATGAGTTCAGAGGCCACTGAGCACGGCCCCTCGAACCGTCATTGGAAGCCGCAGAAAGAGGACATCTTGGTTACAATAGATAGAAAATTGTATAATTTAGCGCGAAAATTGCCATACATGAGCACGTCAAGTGCTAAGACCCTTTCCCTCATTCTCTTCCCCTCGCTTTTTTAGCCCCGTCAAAGCCACCCCTTACGTGGCGTCGATCCAAAAGCGGTAGGCAAACCCCAATGCCCGCAGGGACTGGA